TGACTGGTGCCCACACAATGACAACGTCATCGCCAGTGCCTCAGATGACACCACTGTCATGGTAGGAGCCAGGTGGATGCTGCCAGGCTGGGGAGGGGAGCAGAGGGGTCCCTCACCTGTACTGGGGGAGGGGATAGATGGGACAGGTACCAGGAGCCCTGCCCTTCTGGTTCCCAGATTAGTTTTAGTTAAATACATACCCACTCCCTCCCAGAATGCACTGCCTAGAACTGATTATAACCATGGACAATTTGGGGCTCAAAGGGCACATGTACAGCATTCTGAGACTTTCCTGACAAAGTGGATGGGGAGCTGGCAATGCTCCCTGGTCCCGAGCTGGCGCTTCCCTGTCCTGACGCCAACACACTCAAGAGGGCCACAGCACCGAGGGGGCGGAGCCATCCCTGTGTCCCACCTACCTGTTGCCTTTTCTTCCTACCCAGGTGTGGCAGATTCCAGACTACACCCCGGTGCGCAACATCACCGAACCTGTCATCACACTCGAGGGCCACTCCAAGCGTGTGGGCATCCTCTGCTGGCACCCCACCGCCAGGAATGTCCTGCTCAGTGCAGGTCTGGGGGTGTTAAGAAGGGTCCCTACTATAGATGAGGGTGGGAGTGGGGAAGGTGGGGCCCAGGTGACCATGCCTGGACACTCTGGACAGGTGGGGATAATGTGATCATCATCTGGAATGTGGGCACTGGGGAGGCACTGCTGAGCCTGGACGACATACACCCTGACGTCATCCACAGTGTGTGTTGGAACAGCAACGGTAGCCTGCTGGCCACTACCTGCAAGGACAAGACCTTGCGAATCATTGACCCTCGGAAGAGTCAAGTGGTTGCGGTGAGTGCCTAGCCTGGCTACTCCCTACCACCCCTCGTTCAATGCCAGCTGTTAGCACCTGATACCCGCTGTCATCAGAGCTTCTCGTCCCAGCTGTTAGCTGTCCCATCCCCACTCCAGAGATTAGTCATGGTCCCCCGCGCCCCTTGCAGGCTTTACAGCCTCAACCCCTGCCCTAAGTAAGATCCCAGACTGCAACCCTGTGCCGGCTCCTGTTCGCTCCCCTCCCAAGCATCTCAGAGCTCCGAGGAGGGCTCCTTGCTTTTAGGTTGAGGGGGAGAAGCTGGAAACTCCATCCTCCAACCAGAATCTGCATGAAACCTGAACTCCAGGACCCTCTCCTCTCAGATATCCAATGCCATCTTCCAGGGTGGGGGCCTGACCACCGACTGACCACCCATTGACCCACTGAGTGGGGATGAGAGTCCTCAAGCATAGCTTGTCCCAGCTGGGTGCCCTGGGAGGGCGATGGCCCTGTCTCCCAATCCTAGCCAGCCCCCATCTAACCTGGGGTGTGGGGGTGGGGGCATGCACGTTTACCTGGAACGTGGCTGGGAGCCTGCGGGCGCCCAGGAGGGCGGGTACTCTAACCCACTAACCCTGCGAGCAGGAGCGAGCCCGGCCTCACGAGGGCGCCCGCCCACTGCGGGCCGTCTTCACCGCAGACGGGAAGCTGCTCAGCACCGGCTTCAGCAGGATGAGTGAGCGGCAACTCGCACTCTGGGACCCGGTAGGCCAGGCCGAGCGGTCTTATTGGCTCGCTTTGAGGGTCAGCCAGGAGCACCCTCCCGAGCTGTGGCCCGGCCCAAGAGGCCCAAGCGGATCACAGGGCTCCCTTGTGGGTAAAGCCCCACTCTAACCCCGGGGAGCCCGCAGACATCGCCTGCCCCCAGGGATCAGCCTTTGAGGGTGCCTAAGGTCTGGGACCCGCTAAGAGCTCCGCACCTCCGGCTCAGTCCCCGCCCTGGTATTCTCCAGGCCAGGGTCCTGCCACAGACCTCCGTGAAGCTTTGTTCTTAGGACCCCTTAACCCCCACCCCCACCCCCACCACCCACACTCAGGTTGTCAAGGTGGTTGCTCAGATCTCAGTCTTCCCCAAGGCAGGCAGTAGGGTGATGCTCCTCCCTTCTCCCCTCCCCCCAGGAGAGGTTTGCAGCCCACGAGGGGATGAGGCCCATGCGGGCTGTCTTCACGCGGCTGGGTCATATCTTCACCACGGGATTCACCCGCATGAGCCAGCGAGAGCTAGGCCTGTGGGACCCGGTAACACAGCTGGAGGCTTGGGGTGTGTGCCCCGGGGGCTGGCATCACAAGCGAGGGGCCAAACGCCTCGCACCCGCAGGGTGTGCCCATTCTGTCAGGGCTGAAGGTTGCTGCCAATTCACACCCGACACTGCCCAGTTTTGTCACGTCGCCTGAAGGAGCTCGTGCTAGCGCCCCCTCCTGGTGATGCCTAGTCCCTGGGGGTGGTTTGCTGTGGCTGCATGCAACCGCAAAGGGTGTACTTGAGGAAGGGAAACTCAACGATAAATCTAGAAGAGAGGCTGTATCTCTCACCACAGCTGCCTTGGGAACGCATGGGATTTTGAGTGGGTATAAAGTGAATTCTGAAGCAGCCCGGGAGGATGAGCAGAGCTGGTCACTCTTCTTGTCATCGGCAGAACAACTTTGAAGAGCCAGTGGCCCTGCAGGAGATGGACACAAGCAACGGAGTGCTACTGCCATTCTATGATCATGACTCCAGCATTGTCTACTTGTGTGGCAAGGTGCTGGAGGCCGGGAGGGAAGGACCAGGGCCAGGATGCAGATGTGAGAGCCCCGTCTGGTCATGCTTCTGAATTGTCTGGTTTTGCAGGGTGACAGTAGCATTCGGTACTTTGAAATCACGGACGAACCACCTTTTGTGCATTACCTGAACACTTTCAGCAGCAAAGAGCCGCAACGGGGAATGGGTTTCATGCCCAAGCGGGGACTGGATGTCAGCAAATGTGAAATCGCCAGGTCAGCCCTTCAGTCCCTTCTATTCCCCTGCCTCTGTTCCTCATTGTCAGCTCTTGCTCTCCAGGCCTTCCCCCCAATTGTGCTGCTCTTTGGGAAAGAGAAAGAAGCCATACTAGTCTTTTTCAGCGGCTGCCTTGGCCTTCCACCAGAGACGTTCTAACCCAAAACTGATGTGCGCAAAGTTCAATGTGCATATTGGTTTCCAACTCCTTAGTCCCAGACATGGGGCTTTTAAAAGGACAGGGCGACAGCAAGAACGCTGAATTCCCCTCCCTCATAGGTTCTACAAGTTACACGAACGAAAGTGTGAACCCATCGTCATGACTGTACCTCGAAAGGTGAGGAAGGGGTTTGGCAGGGGGGTGGTTGGAAAGCATCAAAGGCAGCCATTCAGTGCCTAGCTCACACCGGTCCTCCTGTCCACTCCACCCTCAGTCGGACCTGTTCCAGGATGACTTATACCCAGACACACCCGGTCCTGAGCCAGCCCTGGAAGCAGATGAATGGCTGTCTGGTCAGGATGCAGAACCTGTACTCATTTCGCTGAAGGAAGGCTACATACCCCCCAAACACCGCGAGCTCCGGATCACCAAACGCAACATCCTAGATGTGCGTCCACCAGCCGGTCCCCGGCGCAGTCAATCATCCAGCGAAGCCCCCTTGTCGGTAAGCTCTAAGATCTGACCCGCTCCACCCTAGATCTACCCCCTGCCTCCTGCTCTCTGCCAAGGTCTCCTCTGCCCTGTGCATATCAGCAGCAGCACACCCTGGAGACATTGCTGGAGGAGATCAAGGCCCTTCGCGAGCGGGTACAAGCCCAGGAGGAGCGCATAACGGCTTTGGAAAACATGCTGTGTGAGCTGGTGGATGGCACCGACTAGCGCTGCATATGTGCAGCCAAAGCTCTGCACGCTGCAGACCAGATGGAGCAGGGCGCAGACTGGCAGAACTGGCTTTTGGTCTGGGACTCTGCACCCTGCTTCCTGGGGTTGGGATTAGAGGCAAGACCAGAAAAGAAACTCCGTTCCTCATAGGAGGCCTGGACACACCTATCTTAAGTGACAAGGACTGAGCTCGTACTAGATCCCCGACTTTTCCATATCAGGCCTAGAGGGAGCCTAGGATAATGCCGGCCTTAGCAATGGTGCTTAGGGGTGAGGTGGTGTCCCTCGAAGTCCCTTACCCAGAGAAGTGCTTAGTGTGTTGCCTGGGGATCCTGCCAGGCTTGGGCTTGACCCCAGACAGATGGAAAGTTAACAGGTATCCCCGAAGTCTAGGAAAGTCCCTGCATTCCTCCTAATGATACCCCTACAGTGTGGGGGGGCACAGATGGACAGCACCCCTTTTCTGTTGTTGGCAGAGCTTGACCCCACTCGCTTCAGCCATCCACCTATGGCAGAGGGCTCTCCCTTCTTTCCACTTTCAGAGATGGCAGCTTCTTGGAAACAGACAGATCCCACCAGAGAAATCTCAGAACTGGCATAAGGAAGTGGTTTTACACACACACACACACACACACACACACACACCACAGCCTCCAGCACTCCCCCTGAATCTGTAAAAAATACTGAGGCATACTTAATGAAATGTTTTACTAAGTACAAGTCTGTGCCTTCTGCATAGATGGCTGGGGACTTCCCCATTCCCTTTTGGGAATCCTGGGGAACCCAGCAAATGCAAGCTGGGCTGAGGACCTGCCAGGCAGCTTTCTCGTCCTAGGTCAGCCATTTTTGAATTGAGGTTCCAAAGACCCTGTCCCCCAGCCACCGTCGGCACTCTTTCCCAATAAAGTTAGGCAGAAAAGCCTCTGGTTTGAAACCTCTTTATTTGTGCCTCAGAATCAGTCTGGTGCCCCTGGCATCGGGGAAGGAAATAGGAAGAACAGCTTCGCTTTGTTGCTATTTTCTTGTCCCCCTTTTGTGCCCCTCCTGAGCCCCTGGCAGAGAAGCCAGCCAGAAGGTGGCCCAGGACAAGGGTGTGTGCGGGCCCCTGCGGGGGTGGGGGGCTGTGCTTCTTTAGGTGGGTAGGGCGAACAGGGAGAGCCGGGTTAGCACCATTGGAAAAAGGGTGTTAGTCAGCCCCCGAATGGGGGCAAGAGGGGCGCACAACCACAGAGGGCTAGTAGCAGCTGATAGGAGGGGTGGGTGCTGACAGTGGTACCAGGGCCCTGATCAATGCCTTTGTGTCCTGCCTAGTGCTTGCCCCCAAGCCAATATGCTGCCCCCACTCCCCAAGGCACCATGAGGGAATCAGGCCTTGCCCAGACTAGGGGGCACCTTAGACACACTCCCTGACCACAATAAAAACGTGCTGTGGGCATGGGGACTCCATTTTCTGGCTGCCTAAGGAGAAGCTGGGACCACCCTGAGACACAGGACAGGTGTGGGAGCTGGGGGAGCTGGGCACCCCGCTAAGTGCACTTGACGCTGAAATGCAGGGGTGAGGAGGGGCTGGGCCCTTGATGTGCTGGTTTGTGTCTGGGACAAAGCAGCAACACAGCACACAGGGTGATCAGCTGCCTCCCGGGGTGAAGAGCTGAGATGCGAAAGAAGGCTTTAGGGGCGGTGTCCGGGAGAGGGGTCAGTGAGCAAGGAGGACCAGCCAGGAGGAGCAAGAGAAGGGGGACAATGCTCCTCTCGAGGATTCATTTCCTTTTCAATACCACCTGTCTCCGCCCTTGGACAGATCTGAGCCCAGGGAAGCGGACTGGGGTCACTGTACAGCAAAGCAGGGAGAACAGCCATGCCTCTAGGGCTCTGGCTGGGAAAGTCACTCCACGCCTGTATCAAACCCCTGGCATCTCAAGCCTGGTGCACCGCTACACCCCCGACGCGATGGCTCCAGACTCCAGCAGCAGCACGGCAGGTGCGCAGACCCGGGTCCTGCGTGGAGTGGGTGAGGGTCCGAGCAGGGGGCGCTACTGTTCGGTCAGCGAGAGCCGCAGGATCCGCTCCAGCTCTTCCTCCTCCTGGCGTGCTCGCCGCCGCCTCTCTTCCTGCTCCTGCGCCGACAGCTCCATCGCCAGCCGCAGCTGCTCGTCGTAACTCCGGAACACGTGGCTGCTGGAGCTGGGACCCGGGCTGGGCCGAGGGCTGGGCACTGGTGCCGGGGGCACGGGCTGGCGCTGCGGCGTGGGTGGGGCGCTCCTGGGGGTGGGGAGGATTTGTCGAGCGCTCCCCGCTCCCGGCACACCTGGGACACCTGCTCGTAAGCGGGGCAGGAGACATCGTGGAGGCCCCAGGGCTGGGCAGACTTGCCACCCTTCTAGGGGAGGCCATGAGTGTCGCTGGGGTGTCCTGGCCCCACCCGGTGGTAGCAGATCCCAGGTCCCGCCAACCTGTCTGTTGAGGGTCTGAACGTCCTGGGAGTTAGGTCCCTGCTCTCTGCACATGCCTGGAGCACTGGCCACCCACCCTGTGCCAGGAAAGGGGTTTGGCAGAAGCCATCTTGATAACGGGTATTTGATACCAGATGGAGCCCTGCTGTAGGCACTAAGGGTTCTCTGGGCCTAGCAGGGTTCCAGTCTGATGGGTCAGTGCAAGTCTGTGCGTGTGTGTTGGGGGTAGGAGAGGGAATAGGCACCTCTAAGTTCTCTTCGGCCTCGTGGGCACTGACCTGTCCTGTCGGCGGCCTTCATAGGACATGGGGTGGGTGCCTGGCTTGCTGTTGGTTAGCGCCTCCCAGATGGTTACCTGGCGGGAGGGGCCTATTAGCCGTGCTTGCCTGCACTTGGAATGGCTTGGAATGGCGTCAGGAACACACCTGGTCATACTCACTGCCCGCCTCAAGCAGGCTCTGCTGGATTGCAAACTGCAGTAGGTCATCATCTTCATCCCGAGTAGCGGCCTCTCGCTGGCCACCCAGCACGCTGTAGCCACGGGGGGCCTCGAACAACGCAGGGGAGATCTCACAGCCGCGGCAGGAGGCTGGGGGGTGGGCCAGGGGTCAGGTGTGGAAGGGCTCAGCCCTGAGTGTCAGGGAGGGAAGCAGCCTGAGAGGGCGGGGCTCTGTGGGAGAGGAGAGTCTCACTGGTAGAACTGTTGCTGCTGACACTGGAGGAGTCGCTGCCAGGGGAGGGCGTCTCACTGCTGGGGCTGCCTCGCACTGAGGGCACTGGCTCATCGCAGCCATTGAGGTTCCCGAAGGTGATGCGGGCGTTGAGGATGTGAAAGATCGGGATTTCTGAGGATAAGGAAGCCATTAAGTACCCTGTCTGTTCCCTCATCTTAGACCCACTGCCCAGATTGCCTCTAAGCCTCACCCTCCCAAAGTAGCTGGGGAGAAATGGGGCGGGGTGGAGAGGGGGGGCACTCACCAATCTTGACTGGGAAGCCAGGAGGCAGGCGCAAGGTGATGAAGTCCCGGAGCTTGGCAAAAAGTGCATTGCTGACAGCCATGAGGTCAATGATGGGAGCCACCTGCTCACACAGGGACAGGGGATGCTCCTCACACAGCCACAGCTTGGCCTTGAACCTGGTCCCCCAGATCCCAAGGGGTAAGGGAAGCTGTAGGAAGCCATGGCCTCCTAGCACCTCTTAGACCCCTTCCCTGCCCATCCCTCCCCCCAGAGAAAGCAGGGGGCCTCACTTCTGTGTCTTGGTAGTCAGTTCCATGGGACGACCCATGTCCCGGTTGCCAAGCTCAAAGTTGGGGTTGAAGTATTCCTCTGCAGTGATGGCAGTGGGATTGGCTTGGCTCAGGGTCTGAGTGATCAGGGTCTGTACCACACGGGAGGGAGGGAGGCCTTTGTCCCTGATTCCAGGTCAGGGATTGGTGACACAAGCCCCTAATCTCACCCTCCTCCAGCACAGAGCTGACATTGGCTTTGTGAATAGGAAGTCCACATAGGTCACGGTAAGCAGGATGCCACCAGAACCTCCTCCTGAGCCACACCCACACCCTTGACAACAATAACACCCTTGACACACACTCACCCCATTTTGGGGGCCCCCGTGCTGCTCAGCAATTCCCAAGAAAGACTGCAGAGGTGTCTTACAACCTAGGAGAAATGTGAGGCCTCAGGGGATACTGTAGCTTCTTCATACACATGGGTGCCTCATCCAAAGCAACAACACCCAAGATCTAGACTGATGCCTAAGGAAGGGGCGTGGGTGGCTCTCACAACCCACATTGCTAGCCACTTTCACCTGAACGTGATGAGAACTCTTAGGAGGGCACCTAAGCAGACGTGGTGGGTGGCACCTTAATACCAGCACTCAGGAGGCAGAAAGGTGAGTGGGTGTCTGTGAGTTTGAGCTAGCCTAGTCTACATCAGAAATTTGAGGCCAGGGTTACATAGTGAGACCCTGCCTCAATAAATAATGAATAAAATAAAAGCACTAAAGTTCAGAGGAAACTTCCCAAAGTGTCACTCTCCAGACTAGTGACCTTGGATAGCAAAACACCTGTCATCTTTTGGGAGCATGCCTGAGTGCTTCCCTTTAGGGTTGTCCACACTAATGACTTCACTTTCTGCTCCTGCGAGGAGGTAATTATTTGTCTCTGCTTGAGACAAGTTAAATGATGCCCAGTTAATGTGTGTGAGATAAGCAAGTACACAGACTCAGTGGCAAGGTTCTCTGACTTTCTTCCAAGGTTTTGAATCAGATGACTAGATTAACATGATATTTCTCTCCTAAATTCAATACAGACATTAGTAATTAACCACTGAGCCAAAAATGAACCCTAGGAGTCTTCTTTGCAGTATGTTAGGCACCTATTTGAATTGAAATCAATTTGTCTGACTGAGCCATCCTGGCACTGGGCTGCCAGAAAATGCTACTGGGGGCACAAGACCCTCCCATTCCACAGCCTCTCTCCCCATGTGTCCCATGCCCATTACCTTTGACCTTGCCCTTGTGTTGTTCTGAAAGATGCTCTGTCCGTGTCCGGGTGATGAGCTCCACATTGGAAGCCCCATACACCTGAGGACAGAGAGGAAGGGGCTTGGAGACGGCTCTGGTGTCCACTCTCAAGGGAATTCTAAACATTCCCTCCAATAAAAGTCTTAGAAGGGATCTTTGCCCCAGCCTTCAGGCATGTAGACAAGTAAACACAGCAAAATCATTCATCCATTTACTTATTCATTCAGTGAACTTTATAATGGTACTAGGGATTGAATTCAGGGTCTCCTGCACACTAAGCAAGTGTTCTACCACTCCGTTGCAGCTCCAGCCTAGGCTACCAAACATTTTGGAGGAGCAGTTAGATACCAGCCATTGAAGGAGGCATCAGGGATACAATGATGAACAAAACTGACACAATCCCTGCCCCTTTGAGAGTCACATTCTAGTTGGAGACAAGAAAATATACAGTTATAAAACAGTGAGATGAAGGCCCCTTGTCTGAGCATGCAGAACCAGGGAGGGCTTCTGGGAGGAGACAACATGTTCATGTGCCCGGCAGGCAGGGTCCCACAGTGACAGCTTTTTAGAAACCTGGCTTTGAGGTTAGATAGCCAAGGTGTGATTCCCCAGCTCCGCTGCCCACAACTGCGCACACCACTTGTGTTGGTGACTCCACTAGATCAGTGAACCACCGCAAAATCATGGCCTCATCTGTAGGCCCTACTCAATGGAGTACTAAGATTAAACGGGGCGCTATGGAGAGGGCTCAATACACATCTGTAAAGTGGATTAAGAGCACCTGCCTGTTGTGAGGAGGAAATGTGGGTAGTATAGGTTTCCCCACACCCACACAGAACTTCAGAACAGAACCATGGACATGATTATCCTGAGAACTCTGCAAATGCCTATAGTGGGAATTTAGTAGTCATTGTATCTAGCTAGGGTAAACATTAGAATATAAATAGCAGCTGTTCCTCACTGTATCTAGGGTAACAGTTGAATGCATTAGTGTCTGTTGAAAGTACCTAGACCTTGAAGACATAGTAGAGAATAGTGATTGTTTTCTATGGTTTATAGAATTGTTTTTCTGAAGGGGTTTTCCATCCATACATGACTTTGGTCACAAGACTTCCCGGCACCCTTAGAGGTCTTGAATTATTGGGTACTGCAAACACTACACAATAAGGACTAAAGGCTGTGGAGGTGTGATTATTTCCTTCAGAGGACATATAGAATGATCAAAGGGGACTTGGTTGAGGAACTTGTTGTACCCCAAACACAGCCTCCGTGTATAATCAATAAATGTGCTTCTGAAGGAGGTTTGAGGTTCAGTTAGCAGAAACTGTTCCTCCTGCTGGGGTGATGCTCCTTCCCTCCATGCTGCTTTGCCTCTGCACCCACAAGGCTGGGGGAAGTGAGCTAGAAGCATGGCCAAGCTCCAGGCCCCAGAGCTGCAGCCTCACCTTGGCTTCATACCCATTCACCATCTCGGTCTTCTCACTGCGCCAGCCCAGAATGCCAGTCTTGTTCCTGGGGAGGTAGAGTTGTCCAGGTTAAATGGTCACCCGTCAGGCTAGCTTCAGGCCAGCCAAGGTACACCAACTCACCTCTCAAAGGAGATGTTCTTAGTGTCCAGCTGTGTGGTAACAACAGGTGCAGTGAGCCGGTTCAGTACTTGCTCCTCGGTGGGTTGGGCAGCAGCCAGCAGCAGCTCCCGATCCTGCCCAGCCAGCGCCAGCGTCTCCATGTACACCACACGGCGGTCATGGTCAATCTCCATGACCACAGCACTTGTGTCTGCCACCAGGGAACAGCACAGAGATCAGGGGGGTCTGGGGCTGTCTGCTGTCTCCCACCCAGCCCTATTTACTGCCAGACTGACCTTGACCCCTGAAGACAAAGCTGCGATTCCCTCTCTGCCAGGTCATATGGTCAAAGCCCAGAAGTGTGGTGTCTACCCTCAGGTTCTGCCCACTCTTCCACACCCTGTAGGTATCACTAGGGCAGATCTTGGATACCAGGGGCACTGGGTAGAATAGGTCAGAAAGGACTTCAGTTTCCTGGGCCAGCCCAGGGCACAGCAGTTCCAGTTGGTACCACAGCCAGAAGAGGATGAGGGAACTCACAAGGGAGAAGCCTTTCCTTCAGCCAGGGTGGATTTGAGCAATCTGAGGTTGCGCACAGGGATGGCTCACACACCACTGTCTCTAATACACATTGTGTGTTCACTCATTCACATAACTCATGCTTCCAACAAGTATTTCCTGAACACCAAATACGAAACTGGCTCTGTCCCAATTACTGGAGATACAACACTGAACAAGGTAGGACTCTTGCCTGTTGGACTTCATCTTAGAGCAAATGACAGGCATTTAATAAGCAAATCATTGCAGAGGAAAAGAAATGATAATGGAAACAAGATAGCATCTGGGGCAGTCTGGAAAGACCTGGCTGAAGCTGGCACTGAGCTGAGGCTAGGTGAGAAAGAACCCCATGAAGAGCATGGAACCACACTTCAGGCAAGGGACAGTGAATTCAGAGTTCCCAGATCAGATCCAGCCCCTCTTACCCCAGCTAGTGAACTCCCATTTCATCTCCACGTAGAAATCCTGAGCCTGGGAGAAGACAAAGAAGGGGGCTGAGCTGGCATAGAATCAGGATGCAGGGCTGCAGTGGGCAGGTGGAGAGCTGGCTCTCACCTTTCGAAGCTTCTCCAGAAGCATGGGGATGCCTGCCAGTCGCTTCACCACCCGCTGGTAGTCCCGGTACCGCAGCACCAGCTGCACCAACTCCAGGTCCCTGGTACTCACAGCCTCCTGCAGCACTGGGGGGGGGGGGGAGCAATGTCCCAGTGAGACCCTCTGACCCACTCCAGGACACTGGATGAAGGACTACGATAAACAAGGGTGCCCACCTGTCCAGCCACTGCGATTCTCCCTGCCCACGTCTGCACCGTGTGCCAAGAGCACACGGGCACATTCCAGGTGCCCAAGGGTGGTGGCCAGGTGCAGGGGAGTCCGGCCACGGGGATCCAGTTGTTCAATGTCCACCTGTGGAAGAAGTTAAGATGGAGCCCTGGCCACTTCAGAGGCATATGACATAGTTGTCGCCTGGTCCAGCTCACAAGGCCACCAGCCAGACCAACATGATGAGCTGTGGCCCTGTGAATAGAGAGGGGTACAGGAGACAGGGAAAGGACACTGGGAGGGAAGAGCAAGGGCCTTCCTTTCTGTCTGCTAAGCCCCCCAGGTAGAGTTGTATCTTCTAAGGCATTATGGGCCTCCTCTGGAATATAGTCCAGAGACTGCATAGTGGGTCATCCACAGAGGCGGTTAGCCAAGGAAGATGCCTATGGCTAAATCTGCTTAGTGGTCTCAGACCACACTTTCAAGAAGTGCCACTAATTTACAGCATTGGCATGACAGCTTAGAACTGTTGGCTAACAGATATGACAATAGCTACATAGCAGGTAATCCCATAATCCCAGCCCTGGGAAGGCTGAAGCAGGGGGACGGTGAGTCGAAGGCTAGCCTGCACTACACAAGGAGCAACATCCCCTCTCCCACTCAGATACGTTGGCTGTTCTGAGACAAGAAAGCATGTTCACAGCCCAACAATATTTCTGCATAAATCCTATGGTTTCAGGGATGACATTCCACTGCATGCAATTGTATTGTGAAAAGCAACTGTGCTAAACATAAATATTAAGCATATCTAGTTAAATTCAGTGAATTGACCATATGCATGTTAATGCCTTTCCAAAACCTTATTAAAGAGCTTCTCTCCCAACCAAGATGAGGTAACAAAAACTATACTGAAAATGCATGGTGTTGGCTATCGCTTCAAAATACAGGAAATAACTGTTTTTAGAAAACAGGGAACAGGTGTCTCAGAATGGGACCCTTGACCCTGTGGCTTCTCCCTGGGACTTCTTCCTGAAGGGATACCCTGGCTTCTCCCCGGAACTGCTTCCTGAAGGGATACCGCTATTCGGAATGGAGATGCGACAGCAGCCTGGGAGTTGTGGAGGAAGACAGGAATCCGAGGAAAGTGAGGCGGTAAGAAGATTCAAAGTTCTGGAAAAGTATGAGTTTTGAGGAAAGAAGGAGAAGGAGAGGGAGGGAGTGGGGAGGGGAGGAACAGGGAGGGGGAGAGAGGCTGCTCCTCTGCTCCTCCGCATAGGGTCCCTTTGAATCTTTACTGATCACCAAACCTCACCTGCACAGAGTAAAACTCACATGATAATGCAAAACAGAAATGTGACAGCCACTCACACTCAGTCTGCTAAGAGGAGCCTGTAGATACACCTCTATTTAGTAGCCCCCAACAGTGCTGTGCCTTCACGTAGGTCTAAACTAGCCCCCCTTCCCCCAAGGGTGCACCTGGAGTCACTCAAATAGACTGAGTCTCCAAAGGACCACGCCCATTTGCAAATAAATAATTTGCTAAAAGGAGGCCTAATAGTCTTTAAAGGAAGGCGAATTCAGATGTTTAATATATATCTACAAGGTCCATCATCCAGTCAAAACTTGCTAGGCGGGGTATGAACCTGGGCCTGTCACCCCAGCAGTCAGGAGGCTAAGGTTCAAAACCAGCTTGGACTACATAATGAGACTGTCCCCAAAAGCAACCACCCCTGTTCTCTGGTGTGTCTTACTTTCTGATGAGCAACTCTCTTTCTCTTAGCCCTCATGCTTAAGCCTATATTTAATACCTTTATTAAACCCAACTGAACGTCATTAAAAAACAACCACTCTTCAAAAATGACTGCACATGTCACAAAGTAGGAAAATATGGTTTGTAATGGAGCACTAATAGAAACACTGAGAAATGAAGGAGAGTGAAGTGCTGGGCAGTGGCTCAGGCCTTTAATCCCAGCACTCGAGGCAGAGGTGAGAGGATCAGGGGTTCAAGGCCAGCCTCAGGGCCAGCTAAGACCCTGTCCCAGCTCCTCCCTCCCACAGTAACAACAACCAACTGAAGAGCTGGGAGGGAGAGGGAGAGCCCTGGCAAAGCCACACTGAGAGCTTTTTAAAAAACTAACAAAAGGCTGTGGTGATAGCACACACCTTTAATCCCAGCACTCAAGAGGCAGAGGCAAGCGAATCTCTGAGTTTAAGGCCACCCTGATCTACAGAATGAGTTCTGGGATAGCCAGGGCTATATAGAGAAACCCTGTCTTGAAAGAGAACAATAACACCTCCCCCCAAAAGCAAGACAAAACAAAAACAAACAAAACAACAAAAGAAACCTCCAAAAATCTCAAACTTTTGGTTTTTGGATTTCAAGACAGGGTCTCTCTGTAGCTTTTTGGAGTCTGTCCTGGAACTCATTCTGTAGACCAGGCTGGCCTTCAATTCATAGAGATCAGCTTGCCTCTGCCCCGAGTGCCGTGATTAAAGGCGTGAGCTGCTGCCCAGCACATCGTTCTCCTTCATTTCTCAGTGTTTCTATTGAGTGCTCTTCCCTCTCCATTACAAACCATATTTTTCTACTTTGTGACCCAGCTTGACATGTGACATTAAAGGTCTGTTCTACTATGCCCAGTTGTAAATCTTTGTTTTAACTCATACATGTTTGTGGCAATTTGGTGTGGAAATGACTACCATGATAAGCCTACAGAACCAAGAAACGAAACACCCAATAAAAAGTCGATGCCAGAACCCCTCATCATCAGACGCTAGGAAGACGATAAGAAAACCTAGAGCACTGAAAGGAACAAGGCTGCTGTATCAGAAGGACAACCGGAAAACACTTCTTACTTCTCATTAGAGCTGATACAAGCCCAGAGACAGCATAACGAAACCTTACGGTGCTGGGTTGGAGGGAAGAAGTCGATGTAAACTCTATACCTAGTGAGAATACTTTTCCAAAGTGAAGGGGAAACAGACCCTATGGTAAGCCACAGCTAAGAGAACGTACTGCCAGAATACATGTGGAAACGGTCAGGTGGGAAGAAAATGATACCAGATGGAGACAAATCTACACAAAGAAATGGAGAACGCCAAAAATGTTAAATTTGCAAGTATAAGAATGTCAGTAAAATATTTAAAACCTACAAGAATAAAGAGAGGAGATGTCAGCAGATGAAAAATTTCAACACGTCTTCAGAAGATGGAAAGTGGCTGGGGATGACTTAGCAGAGCAGGGGACCCACACAGTCAGTCCGGGAGGGGGAGGGGAAGAGCAGCAAGCCAGGTCACCCCAAGCTCACCAGCAATGGGATGTACTGGACTCAGAGACACTGATCACAGCAAAGGACGAGGTTATGGGATGTGACACTAGTGACTGATGAGACCAGCCCCTTGCACTGGATTCTGAGCTATCAGCGACCAGAATGCAACTGTGTTTGTCGCCACCCTGACTACCACTCCACCCAGGTAGGTAGGGCATTGAGTTCTTCCTCCGAGGAAGTGAAAGCCAAAATGATCTCTGAATGGAGATATTTGGAGTCCCGTGATGGGTGTGTAACTTGCTGCCCAGTTGTCCTGTGTCTGGGAGCCCCGGGCTCCATTCTCACACATGTCCCTTCAGGCCCGGGGAACTGGACACTGGAGGCAAAGTGTCCACTGTGAGATCGAACAAATAGACAATGGGACGTTATGAACTGCGGGGGGGGGGGTAGACTGCCTCTGCAGCTAGTGAAGGGAACGTGGGGCGGGGCAGCAATTTGTATTGTCGAGAAAACTTGCAAAGATTCCTGAGACCCACCCCACGCCGCCTCCCTCGGCCCCGCCTCCGGCAGCCCCAGGCCTCCTGTGACTGTCTCCCTCACCATCCTGTACCCACTTTCCATGGCTTGCTTCATTCCTGTGCAGCTGCCCCTGGGCCCATCTCACAGTGGACAGTGCCTCACTTCACTGCACTTTCAGGTTAAACCAATGGCCCTGGCCAGTGGCAAGGTGCTCTGCAGTTAAAGGCACTTGCCACTGAGCCTGGTCACTGAGGTTGACCTCAGGGACCTACACACTGAAGGGAGAGAGCTGACATTCCAAACTGACCTCTGACCTCGACATCTGCACTCATACCTATACACACACACACACACACACACACACACACACACACACACACACACAGGGGGAGAGAGAGAGAGAGAGAGAGACTTTTAAAAACAAAAACCCATGCTGCCCCCTACCCCAGTATTCCATTAAGGCTTTGGACATGAAAATACAAGGTTACTCACCACCCACCGAGCTTACCTCAGCCTCCAGAACACCCTCTGCTAACATCTTTATGCCCATTCTTCCCCTCACCCTCCAGCTCTACTCCATCCCCAAAGTATACCTAGAGACCCCTCAGTCCCCACCCACCCCTCCACTCGACACCCCGCCCCAACTGCTCACATCACCTCTCTCAAGCCTCCACAAGACCAAGCTAAACTGAGCTGGGGGAGCTGGAGAGATGGCTCAGTGGCTAAGAGCAGCTGTTGCTCTTATGGAGAACTCACATTCGGTTCCCAGCACCCACGTGATGCCCCACAACAACCCGGTAACTAACTCCATTTCCAGGGGATCTGATGCCTTCTTCTGACCTCTGAGGGCACTAGGCATCCATCCATGTGGTACACATACATGCCTGCAAGCAAATCACTCACACAGAAAATAAGACAAGTAGATCTAAAATAATAAATGAATGAAATTAACTCAGGGCTTGATACATAGTAGCACGAATCTCTCCAGTGCTCTGGAAACTTGAGACTCATTTAACCCACCCACCCACACTCCTGCCATCAGCCTTGTCACCTTAGAAATGATCTCTTGGGTCATTATGATTTTTGCCCCCAAAAGGGTCATGTGTTGGCAGCCTGGCCCTTCCCAGTAGAGCAGGATGGAAGGCAGTGAGTCTCTAAGAGCTGGGGCCATAGGGAAGACAGGCTCACAAGAGCAGGTCAGGTCTCCAGGGACTGAATCAGCTCTCACAAGAATGGGTCATTACAAAGTGAGTTCAGCCTGCTGGCTCTTTGCCCCACTCCACCCCCATGCTCCTTCTGGAAGTGCTAATGTATTCACCACACTGAGACACAGCCAGGTGGTCCTGGCCACACATG